GACCAAGTGTTGTTGGACTGGCATCATCATAATTAGTAGTTATAAAAAAATAATGTTTTCCAAGGCAGTAATGTTTGCTAAAGCAGTAATGTTTGCCAAAGCACATAATTGGATTATGTGGTGAAAATATTTCCTTTATATTGTACTACAAAAGACCTAAGGCTGTAACCAAACTGATATCAGATCACCATGTCATACCCAAATCTGTTGCAATGAATATCTGGACTTCTTCCTGTATAAATTTCAAAGTCGCAATATAACCATTAGGATTGTCTGCAGCAACCCACAGATTTATTCCCCACATAGTAGGTCATCTAGCTTTCATGAACTGCCTAACCCCCAACCTATTTCTTGATTTGACAGACTGAGTGTGTTTGTCTGCAACAACAATATTCTGTGACGGCTGGTACAGTTGTTGATGCAGTTTATTGCTGTAGTCTTTAGTACAGGATCTACCATATTCACAAACGCCATAAGCGCTTTGTACCTAACCCGAGAAATTATGTCTATTGCCCACAGACCATGATATAAGGTTTTTACACTCCAATAATTTTCAATCTCACTGTCGACCTTTAGCAAACCTGCATATTATACTAAAAGGCAATCAACCTCTCAAGGTTGGTGGATTGCAAGACCCTTCTTTATTAGTATATGGGGATAACTTTTGAGTTATTTGTATGTGGGCATATGTATTGGTATGGCCAGGAAACTACCTCCTGAAGCATTCCCTTAGTAAAAAAGAGTCGAATGAACTCAAGCTCACAGTTCATTGAGCCGAATGAACTCAAGCTCACAGTTGATCGAAATGGATCCCGGACATGTCAGTGAGGAGCAAAATCTGGGAGAACATTCCTAGCGTCAAGATCATCATATCCGTCATGTACTATGGAGCCTAGTGGGGATGCTAGACAGGGAGCTTTCGAAACCTTAGGTCCTAATGGCTGGGCTTCCCTCTACCTCTACTCATCCCCCTACCTTCCCTCTGGGTTGGTGAGTGGGGTTCTCGTGACTCATCAGAACTCTACTTCCCTGAGGCTAATGGCTATGAAACAGGAACAGCAGATAGGAACAGGATCAATATATTCATCAGTGCAAATAAAAACTTTTATAGACATGGTGCCACTTAAAATTATAATAAGAGCCAACTAGTAAGATATAAGTATAAATACTTGGCTATTATGTATGTAACAAACAACCAAACATGTGCTCAAGGCTCATTTTACTTCGCCTAGGAATCAGAAATTTTTATGCCTAAAACACCATAAATTTTCGTCAACAATACAAATAAATACCATTTATATTTGTCAATTTCAGTATGAAACGATTATTTCAACACAAAAAAGCGATATGAGGACATACTTGGTCGTACTAGTGAAGCTATACTAAATACAAATAAATTTACAACGCCATGGCAACGGCAAAACATTGAAATAGAAATTGTCTAGAAATGATACAAATACTTGCCTTGAAACTCCAGACACGACTCCCAATGCCAGGTTGAGACACTTGTCTTCATACGAAGACATTCCATCATTACTAGCACTATCAGTTTGCAAAATAAAGCCAAAAACGTCTTCAGAATGCGATTCAAACAAAACTACAACACAATACATTTCAACGCTTGTGCGTTCCCGTGCGCGATAATCAGTATCAGCAAAATCCGTATCTAGGGTAAACAAACACTCCGGAAGTGATTCCTGCAGTCTTTTACCAGGAAACTGTAATGCTTTACCAAGAATTTGGCGTCCGAAGTTGGCCGAACACTTTCCGATCACGAGAATTGCCATAATAGGCTTAGATTATTTCGCAATTTCCCGAGACTGCTCCGAGCTATAGAATGGAAGATGGCGATTCTTTTGGTATATTTGTTATTATTATACGTTGAAAAGAAGCAAAAAGACGAGCATTTGAATCAGGCGGAACATTCAAAATGCAACAGCAAAATTGATAATGTGTCATTTGCATAAATTTCACCGCATTGATCATTTCAAGGTAAGAAATTCGCTTGAAATTGAGTGAGAAACAATAAAATGATATGAATATTTCTGAATATATAGTATCGATCAAGCGGAATTTTTTGGTGGTATTTTTGTATGTCTACTGCAAATACTCGCGAGGTTCTTCAATATTTAATCTTCCCGTCATATACGTCGGAAATTAATATTCGCGGATCGAATTGAGTTAACAACTTGGGTCAACGTCTGTGAAGTTTAGAGGCAGCGAAAGACTCTGATCGAAACAACAACGACGGCGTTGCCAACGGCCAGGAAATGGCTTGTTGTCCTCATGACGAAACATTGGGGAATGTGGATGAAATTCACTCAATGGATCAGTTATCTGTTATGGTCGCACCGGACCAGGGCTTTGTAGAATCAGTTGCTCCAGAGACCCTGGAAAATGATTTAGGCCACGGAGATGGCCCACACACGAGCGAAAATAAAATGAAAATGTCAATGCGGTGAAGCTGTCAGAACGAGCAGGGGAAAAACTTTCGCCGCGTGAAACGGTCTCCAAATGTCAGTTATTTGATCCCATTGATCAAGTACCAAATTGGTCGACTTCGGACGTTTTTAAAACCTTTTTAGAGGTAAAGTTGATTGATTAAGTTGATTAAACTTTCGCTGCAGTTTATCGTCCTCTCAGATCATTTGGCGTTTTAGAATAAACGTCATTACCAGATTTAGATGTTTTCACAACACCAAAACTAGACAAGGTTATTAGTGATCAGGTGCCGGTTAACTTAAAACAATCGATAGAAATTCGAGATAAGGAGTTACTTAAAGTGCAGAGGCATGTCCTCAATGTTGCCGCTCTTTTGACGGCCTTACGTGATTTATTGGAAAATAAACACAAGACGTTTCAGTTCCGGACATGTTGAGTATAGTGGAAAGAGCACTTTGTTTGTTGGGCAATGCCTCAAATTCTTTGTCTGTTTTACGCAAATATAAAGTTTTGTATGCGATAAACCCAAAGATGGTCTCTTTAGCAGAGGCCTCATACCGTAATGCAGGGAAGCAATTGTTTGGCAGTGACATAACTAAGATTGCTTCAGAAAATGCTGATATTATGAGAAATAAAATATTTCACAATCACATTCCTATTTCAAAAATAGATTTCAGTTCGGTAAATATCTGTAAAAAAACGACAAGTTTCGTCCAAACTCATTCGGACAACAACGGTTTCCTCATCTGCCAAAAAAGAGGCCCTTTCAGCAACAGCCCTTTCGACAAAATCCACGGTTCAACAACAACTCCCAGTAAAGGTTGGCTACAGTTTTTTTATGCAAATTGAGAAAATATCACTCAAGATCCATTCATTTCAAATGCAGTTCAAGGTTTCAAAATTTGTTTTCGTTCTCATCCGATTCAATCCATTGTTCCTCGGGTTTCAAATCAGGATTTAATAATCAAGGACGAAGTTTCGTCACTCCCAAAGAAGGGAGCAATAGAACATGTTCCTTTCAGCACAGACGGGTTTTACCATCGTTTGTTTCTGGTCCCCAAAAAAGGCGGGGGCCAGAGGCCAGTGTTGGATTTAAGTTCATTAAACCAGTTTATCGATGCGGAACATTTCAAGATGGAGAATGTATCTAAAGTCTCTTCTCAACAAGGGGGACTATATGATAAACTTAGACTTGACGAATGCGTACCTGACAGTTCCCATCCATCCTGTCTCCCAAAAATTTCTTCGATATTTTTTCGGGAACGAAACTTAATTATCAGTTTACAGTAATGCCGTTCGGGCTGAATATTGCTCCCAGATTTTTCACGAAATTGTGAAACTTGTTGTGGCCTCATTGAAAAGAAAAAGGATTTGTTTGATCATTTATCTCGACGACATTTTGATCATAGCCTCTTCAGCTGAAACATTGAACCTTTACAAAAAAATAGCAATCGACTTGCTAGAGTGTCTGGTATTCCTGATAAATTACTTGTTCTTAGGGATGTTGTTAGACTCGGCATCAATGCAGTTCGTATTGCCTCAAACCAAACAAAAGCTGTGCAAATTTAAAAAGAATGTCGTCTGCTATTGAATTCAACTACTCCTACAATTCGACATCTCTCTCGGGTGCTGGGACTGCTCGAGTCCTGCCTCCCAGCGATATGGTCTGCCCCACTCCACTACCGTCATCTACAAACTTTGCAGACAACCGCTTTGCAGATGTGGTCTAATTACAGTGCCTTGATAAGTTTGACACCTACAGCCAAGACAGACCTGGCATGGTGGATAACTGCCCTACAAATACAGCAGGGAAGTAAAATTATTTCACCATTAGCAGATTTGACCATCTCTTCGGATGCTTCCAAACAGGGGGGGGCACGCTGAGGTACCCAGCGCACGGGAGGTTGTTGGAGCGAGCGAGAGTCACAAGACCACATAAACATATTAGAACTTCGAGCAGCATTCTTTGCCCTCAAGTCCTTCTTGCCGAGTCAGACAAACAGAGTAGTTTGCTTAAAGATGGACCATCATACCACTGCAGTTGCCTACCTACACAACATGGAAGGCACTCATTGCCCCCAAACTACTCCATCGAGCATTGGAGGTCTGGGAGTGGTGCGAGAAGAGGAATATATTTCTTCTTCCACAGCACATCCCGGGCAAGACAAATGTCGAGGCGGATGCAGAGTCACCGGTGAAACGCGATTTGAACGACTGGAGCATACATCCAAAAGTTATGGCTCCTTTAATGCACGGTGGACCTGTTTGCCTCTCACCTTACGCATCAACTAAAACAGTACGTCAGTTGCAGGTCGGACCCGAACGCAATGCACATCGATGCGTTCACAATGAATTGGTCGAACCTGGTGGCATATGCCTTCCCTCCATTCAGTCTACTAACAGCAGTACTTCACAAAGCCAGAAAGGAGGCAGCAATGCTTGTGTTGGTTGCACCTTTATGGACCGCACAGCAATCTCACCGTCAAATTTCACACCCACCACAACCTAGACACCAGCGCAATTGGGATGTTTCTGTCATTACTACCTACCTGACCAATATGGGTGATAATAGTGCAATTACTTTGAAGAAACTTTCACAGAAACTCTGTATGTTAATGGCGCTAACTTGCCCTGAAAGAAGCTCGGTCATGGCTTCATTGGACATCACTTACATGCGCTTCTACCCAGAAGGAGTCAAGTTCTCTCACACCATTTTTCGCAAGCGACCTCATAGTGGGAATTTAGGGGAATCGGTTTATCCTATGTTTACCAAAGAATCTCTCTGTCCGGATATGTGTCTTATAGAGTACCTAAAACAAACAAAAGAATGGAGACAAAAGAACGACAACAAACCATGTCTTTTTCCGTCTTTCAAAAAGCCTCACAAACCTGTTTTCTTATCAACGCTTTAACGTTGGGTTAAGGAAGTAATCCGCCGGTTGGGAATTAAGGACGATATCTTTAAAGGCCACTCGGTTTGTGGAGCCTCAACCACTTCTGCCAAGGCAGCTGGTTTATCCATTGACACTATTTTATCTATGGCTGATTGGACGAACAAATCAACTTTTAATAAATTTTATTATAGGTCTTCATTGCCAGTTAGATTGGGCAGTCTGTTTTGACTAACCATAATTAGTTTATCAATTCATGTTTGTTTATTTTACATGCAAATGAAATGATTATTTTACTGTGTATCAGTGATTTGTAATCTACCACTTGTATTCCATACATTTCGATTGGAAAATGTGAAGTATAATTTGAATTATGCGGCGTGCTCGTATAATTATGATTATACGAGCACTTGAAGGGAAGAATGTATGGTCCCTCCCAAGGACGAAACCTGAGGGGGTGTAGGGGATGTGACCCCCCCCCCCCCAAAGTACAAATCATCTGGATTGGCAGGGCAATGAAGGATTTTAAATGATAGAATGTAGAGTTATTAAGTAGCTTCCAGGGCTTCCAGAGAATTGAATAGAATTTATAAATCAAAATTTTACAGATATTGGTAAAAAAATAAGGCATTTCATGCATGTTTTAACAGGAATTTGTCCGAAAATTTTTTTTGATCCTTAATTTAACTGGTTTATGTCCGGAAAATTTTTTCCCACCCCTTTTTTGTATGTCCGGAAAAAAATGTTTCAACCCCCCCGCTGCAGAGCATCATCGGCTGCAGGGCAATTCTAGCAGACACCCCCCTAATTAAAAGGGGCTAGTTTCGCCCCTGGTCCCTCCCGAAGAGTTAATTCTGATCCTGCCCGTTGTTTGGTAGTATCGACCTTACATCTCATTCTGGCAGAACTATGTCGACGTGGCATGTCGTCGGGCCTTCTTCACAAGTTCACAGTGCTTTTAAATAAGTCGGAATATGATGGGGGGGGGGGCTCCGCCACATGGCGCGCAGCAGGGGCTGTTCCCGCGCTTTTTTCTTGCTTCTAGTCTCCTATGCTTGGCATATTGTGGCTTATTCACGCTCTGGGAAGCGTTATACCACTTGTATTCCATACATTTCTACCTTCAAGTGCTCGTATAATCATAATTATATGAGTGTGCTGTTTCGCGGCGCTTGTATAACTCAATTTTGTTTTATTTTTCCACCCCTAGGACTGAAATGTGAGCATTTTCTGAAATAGAGTTTTGGATATACAGCGTTACATTGTGCTTTGATAGACCGAATCTGATCAGTTAAGTCTACTTGCATGGACAACATGGTATATTTATCATGTAATTACCACAACTGGGTCACTCAGGAAGTAGGTAACTTGTTAAGTGACCACTTAGATCGTTGGAAATGGCATTTTCAGAGTCTTCTTTTATGCTGTTTGTGATTATAGAAATCAGAACTCTAGACATGATATTTAAGTTCAAAAGCGTTCTTGATCCCCCCTGCTTCTTTGTGCTGAAACTTTTTAAGGGTAAAACTTCGTTTGCCTCCTCCCCATAAATAATCTAAGTATTGATGAATTTTAGTTGCAAAATATACTTCAATTAATCAAGGAAATTTCAAGAGAATTACATCTCATTTCATGGAAATTCAAGGAAATTCTTTTGTAAAACAAAGAAATTTGAATGCTACGTTGTGAAGACACTTAATTAACCTGATGTCCAGGCCCTAATAAGGAAACACTGGGCTAGTAACACACAGCCAGCCAGTGTGACCAGATTTGGTAAAAAGTTTTACTTTCGGCAAAAGCCATGTTACACGGTGCAATTTTTCTTGCAACCTGCAGTGCAATTCTACTTTTGGGAGATGTAAAATTGCCAAATACGAGTCTTCATTACACTCCACACTGATGTTTTCTCAACATATCGAAAATTCTTCACTGATTTCACTAATTAAAAGAGCTTGTCTGTAAAAATCGCAATAATTCGCCAATTTCTGGCAGATATGAAAAACTGAAAGTTCTTCAATTTCCCTCGATTTTATATATATTGTAGACCTATCCAACCCCACACATTTACTGAAGTTTCAGCCATGAAACACAAAATGAAGAAAAGTTAGAGTATTTCAAAAATCGAACCAAAAATGACGCGAAATGTCCAAGAAATTTCGCTATATAAAGCAGTCAACATCATGTGCTGTGCTGAGCGCGCATTATAAGTTTTGGTCTGCTGTTACAATATATGTTTTTAGAATATATGGAACTTTCTCGTGATATCTTTTCTCCATAAATCGAAATGTTATTGACTTGGTTATTTTAGATCAAAGATGGTTGAAATTTCCAGGTTCTCCAAACTAGCCAAAGTACGTCTTGGGAATCGCCTATTCAAACATGGTCCTACTTTCTATATAAATGTACATATGCATAACTTGTTAGGGCTAGGATGTAGTCATTCGACGACGATTTCAGATGTTTGGGATTCTTTTGTGTTTTGGCGAAATTTGATCTTAAACATGTACAATATTAGCGTAATTGAGTGCTTGGATTCTATTAACCGGCACGTTACGATTCCAATATCTTATGCTTGTTCTATTCAAAAAGTTAACATGCTTCACTGTAAATGACACTGATAACACACAGTTTACTTCTTAATGATTTTCTTTGCATTCAAGTTACTTTGTCTACAGTATATGTGTATATACATACTGCGCGCACAAACTTTTTCAAACGTAAAAAAACATACCCGCAGCCCCAAGCATGGCTTTAAATTGCGTTGCCCGTCCAAGTTTGACACCGGCTTTATATTCTGCCTGTGAGTTTGTGGTTTATGCGAAATCACAAGCATATTTCCTTCATGTAATCTTTAAGGTAATAATTATATTTATTGCTGCTGACGCTGCATATTTAATTGTTTACATTTTCTGTCGATACATTCATGTACGACTTGCAGTTTATTACACATATTTTGAAATAACTTTTCTTACGTATCGATTCCGACAAACTCGACAACATAACAAATTTCAAATTTTCCGACGGGTCTCAACAATGGGGGGGAGGGGGTCTGCCAATAGGGGGGGGAGCTTGAAATCCGGCTTCAGGACAAAACTGTTGTCAATATGCAACTATTTATTCTGTCATGCACTTTAGTGTCGAAGGTTTTGACTTTGTTTTTGGTTTGTCCCTAGAAGACACTAGGGCACCGCATTATAGAACTGTGTCTGGTCCGCGCATTGTTATATAGTTTGTAAACAACAGTAGCACGTGCAATCCCGCGACTGCCTATTTTGATGTCTGTACTAAATTATTCAGTTCAGTTTCAAGTGATTTCTGCAATACCTGTAATGAGCTGTCCCTTACTGTTGACAAAATATGAACTTAGTTCAAATCAGTGGAAGTTACATTACATTTGGTGATTTGGAAAACACTTACACCAAGGTTAAATATTTCTGTGTAATTTAATTAAATTACTGAACTTCGAGATAAAACTAAGGAAATGCGAAAAATACAATGGACTTACCTTTATGCTTCATGAACTGTAACAAACCAATGTAACATAATCAGAGAGTTTCAGTTGCAATATTAAATTACAGTGGACAATTGTCTCGCTGCGTGCGTTTATTTACAACTTTGTTGAGAAAGTTACTTCCGGGTTTATAACAGCGTAGGTTACAAATGTCACAAATCAATTATTATTTTATCTTGTAGTAAACAGTCTTGGAACTACTTTTTCTTTACGTACTAGACCACGACATAATTTGTCGCAGGCACTCTAGAGAAGATCACGCTTACCATCTTGTATTCTTTTTCAGCTGATTTTCCATTCAACGACAACGTTTTTATTTATATTTGTATAGTATTTGCACATCTGCATGATTGTGTTTTCATGATGTAAATTTGAGTTAATTTAAAAATGCATGACCGACATTTAAGAAGTGAAGCGTGTGTTCTCAGTGACGACTACAGTAAACACAGAATCATTTTGAAATAAAATTTAAGAAATAATATTCACAGTGTCACGCTCCAGTTAATATGAACCACTCAATGGGCAATGGACATTTGCATTATAGACTAAATTTTGATCTAGACAAAAATTTCACCACAGCTTGAAAGAGCATCACAAAATTAGTAATATTCCAAAGTTTCATTGCAAAATGTTGTAAAATGCGGATAATATAGCCATGGGAAGTTTGCCGTTTTTCAGTCATTTTGTATTACGCACAGGAAATTGACAGTCCAAATCGGGTGTTGGGGCATCAATTTCCCGTTTTGTAATCTAAAATGACTGAAAATTGCAAACTTCGCAAAGCGAAGCAAACATTGCAAAGCTATATTATCTGCAATTTACAACATTTCCCAACGAAACTTTGGAATATTACTAATTTTGTGATGCTCTTTCAAGCTGTGATGAAATTTTTTTCTAGATCAAAATTTAGTCTATAATGCAAATGTCCATTCCAGCTATAATAGATCATATAGACTAAATTTTGATTTAGGCAAGAAGAACAAAATCCATCTAGAAAGAACATGTTAAAATTAGTAAAATTGCAAAGTTTGGCCACGAAATGTTCTAAAATGAGGAAAATAATAGCCCTACGAAATTTGCAAATTTTGTATACCACAACATTTGGGCCGAAAGTGGTGCAAATTCCCGTGCGTACTGACAAATTAATACAAAATTTGCAAATTTCGCAGGGCTATATTTTCCTCATTTTAAAACATTTTGCAGCGAAACTTTGTAATTTTACTACTTTTAACATACTCTTTCTAGCTGTGCTGATGGATTTTGTTTTTCTTGCCCAAATCAAAATTTAGTCTATAGCTGGAATTGCCCATTACGCTAATATTGTACATGTTTAGCTGCAAATTTCGCCAAGACACAAAAGAATCCCAAACATTTGAAATCGTCGTCGAATGACTAAATCCTAGCCCTAACAAATTATGCATATGTACATTTATAAAGAAAGTAGGACCATATTTAAATAGGTGATTCACAAGACGTACTTTGGCTAGTTTGGAAAACCCGGAAATTTCAACCATCTTTGATCTCAAATAACCAAGTCAATAAGTTTCGATTTATGGAGAAAAGATATCACGAGAAAGTTCCATATATTCTAAAGACATATATTGTAACAGAAGAGCAAAAACCTATAATGTGCGCTCAGCACAGCACATAATGTTGACTGCTTTATATAGCGAAATTTCTTGGACATTTCGCGTCATTTTTGGTTCGCTTTTTGAAGTGCTCTAACTTTTCTTCATTTTTTGTTTCATGGCTGAAACTTCAGTAAATGTGTGGGGTTGGGTAGGTCTACAATATATATAAAATCGAGGGAAATTGAAGAACGTTCAGTTTTTCATATCTGCCACACATTTTGTGATTCTTACAGGCAAGCTCTCTTAACATCTCTGAAGAGAATTGCATTGCAAGTTGCAAGAAAAATTGCACCGTGTAACATGGCCTTAAATTTCGTGAATTTCCAAGAAAATTTGGTAATAGAGTTTTTATTGGTAAAATTTTTGTAAAATCTGAAAGGTTTTAATTATTAATAATCGTTTCGGTAAGCACTATTTTGCAGACCGGCGATCTTCTGTAATTTGCAACCTACAACAACAACAACAACAACAATTTATTTTCGCACCACCAAGTAAAATAACATTATATGATTTTTTTTTAAATATAAATATTATGGCACAGGTCACCAGAAATAGTGAAGACTAAACCAGTCTAGTGACCTTTTATAAAATAAATGAAATAATGAGTTTATATCATTTTGTATAATTATAAAAGTATATATTCATGAATACTTGTGGCAGCGCTAGTAAATGAAAATCATATTTTCCGCAATTTTATTCTTAAAAGATGATTTGCTAAGAGTTTTATATTTATCATCAATATCATTCCATACTTTAGGACCCTGAAATCGAAGACTGAATTTGCCATAGTTAGTTCTTATTTTGTCAATATAATATGTATTTCTAGAAGCCAATCTGGTATTATAATTATGTACTGATGTGACCTGTTTGAATATGTTATTAAATGTAGCAGGAAGATTCCCGTTATGATAATCATACATGAATAAAGCGTTGTTTAGAAAAACAAGATCAACGAGCTTCAAAATATTAAGATTTTTAAATAAAGGACTAGAATGATCGTCAAATTTAGAAAAGGTAATAATTCGGACTACTCTTTTTGTAAGGTTATTATTGGATTAAGATTTGAAATATAGGTGTTTCCCCACAACGTTATTCTATATGTCAAATATGGGTAAATTAAGGAATAATAAAATTGTGTAATTACATGTGAGGTAACAAAATGGCGAATTTTACACAACATTCCAATACTTCTCTTGATTTTTTTCGAAATATGTTGAATATGACTTTTCCAATTAAGATTACAGTCTATATAGATTCCTAGATACTTGAGACTAGTTTCTTGTTTAATTTGTACTTGATTAATAAATATTTTTATTGTGGATGTAATTTTCTTTTGAGGTGGATGAAAAATAACAAAATTTGTCTTATCAATGTTAAGGGAAAGTTTATTACAGTTAAGCCAGGAATTAATATTTACAATATTATCATTAATAACTTGTTCCATGTCCAAAACACTCTTGTTTGTACAAAACAGATTAGAATCGTGAGCAAAAAGGTGAAAATCGAAAACCTTTGAACTATTATTGAAATCATTCATATACAGAAGAAACAACAGTGGGCCGAGTACAGATCCTTGTGGGACACCACAAGGGACAACAAGCTCGTCGGATACTGAACTGCCTATGGATACAAATTGTTTTCGGTTTTCTAAGTATGAAATAAACCAATCTTTTGTTATTTCCCTTATACCATAATGCTCAAGTTTAGTTATTAATATTTGGTGGTTAACAGTATCAAAAGCTTTACTTAGATCCAAAAAAATTCCACAAGAAAACAAACCATCCTCAATTGCTCTTTGGATTTTATCGGTAATCGATATGACTGCTTGTACTGTAGAGTGCTTTGACCTGAATCCAAATTGTCCCTTATAAAGAATTTCTCTTCTTTCAATATAGTTAGTTAACCTTTTACACATCAATTTTTCTAATAATTTATTAAAAATTGATAACAGGGAGATTGGACGATAATTGTTGACACAAGTTTGAGAACCTTTTTTAAATATAGGAATTAGACGTGCTGACTTGAAGCTTTCAGGCACTACTCCAGTTACAAATGAATGATTAAAGAATACTTCTAATGGTTTTGATAAATATGTACTAAGTATTTTAAGTAACTTAATTGGTATACTGAATGGCCCGGTAGCTTTTGTAGGATTTAGTTTGATAATTTCCTGTTCTATCTCGTATCTTGTAACAGGACTGAGAAAGAAACTAGAAGTTTGTGGAGGGTTCATGTAACTTAATGGTGGGACATTTGTACTTGGAATTGAACTGTTCCCTCAATTTAGGGGGTGCATTTGAATGTTTTGGTTTGAGTGTAATTAAGTCTTTTATGCCTCTCCAAATAGCTTTAACATCTTTACTATGTTTTATAAAATAACTATTAAAATATTTCTCCTTACTAACTCTTAATAGATTAGTTAATTTATTTCTGTATGATTTATAATTATGGCTGTAATCAGGGCTTTTATTATTTAGGTATTTTTTAAATAACTTATTCTTAGTTTTAATAGAAATCTTAATACCAGGTGTAATCCAAGGTTTAGAATAAAACTTAATTTGTTTTTTGCTAAGCTTCTTAACAGGGACATGCTTGTCTATAATATCTGCAATTGTAGAATAAAACCTGTCAAAAATAATATTAACATCACAGTCATGAGGGAAAATAGTTTCCCAATTGACAGACTGTATTTCATCAATTAAAGCGGTCTCATCTAAATTTGAATAATCTCTTTTATAAATTTTGAAATTTTTTGGCAATGCATTTAGTTGATTAATAATAAGAAAGTTGGGAAGATGATCAGATATATCAGAAAGTATATTGCCGCTTATAGTATGATACTTAATAGAATTTAAAAATATATTGTCATGAGGGAAAATAGTTTCCCAATTGACAGACTGTATTTCATCAATTAAAGCGGTCTCATCTAAATTTGAATAATCTCTTTTATAAATTTTGAAATTTTTTGGCAATGCATTTAGTTGATTAATAATAAGAAAGTTGGGAAGATGATCAGATATATCAGAAAGTATATTGCTGCTTATAGTATGATACTTAATAGAATTTAAAAATATATTGTCAATAAGTGTTGCTGTGTGATTTGTTATTCGTGTGGGTTTATGAATATGTGGAGTATAAAAATAAGAGCTCAAAGTGTTAACAAAATCCTCAGTCGGAGTATGGGCAGAATAGTTGAGAAGATTTATGTTAAAATCGCCCAGGATGACACAAGTTTTATTTTCTTGCTGAATTTTGTCGAGACATGAGTATAGATAGTTTGTGAATGCTTCTAATTTGACTCTAGGATGCCTATACAAAACACCGCAAGTTAATTTTTGATTTAGTATTTCAATATCAACCCACAAGCCTTGAAATTCATCCTTTGATACGCCTAGGTCATCTCTAATATTATAATTTATGGTTTCCATTATATAAAAGCCCACACCGCCAGCATTTGTAGGAGTAGGTTGTGATACAAAGTTATATCCTGTTAACTCAACGTTAACTAAACAATCCTTGTCAGTCTTTATTTTAGTTTCAGACAATCCTATTATTGAGAATGGAAATTGAAGCTCGTCAAGCATAACAGAAAGTTTATCATAATTAGCTGCTAGACTTCTTATATTGCCATGCATGAATGAAATTGAATTGTTCATTTTTAAATTCTGAATTTCTAAACAAGTTTGAAATTCCCGAGTAGAATAGTAATCAAAATTAGTACGAATTGGTAATTGAGAATCAATATCTGCGTCCGAAAGGCGTGGAGTGCGATCAAAAGTTGATAAGATATCTAAATGGGGTAGAGATTCAAGTCTTGAGTCCTTGCCATTAGGATAATCTGTATATTTAAAGGTAGACAAGCTTTCGATACCGTCAACAATCTCCTCGGGTGTAATGTAGTTAGCCATTTGGTGCTACTATGAGGGTTGGGATTCTTAGCATTATCATAACAATTTTTAAATAAAAGCGGAAAACACACACATAAAATTGCAGAACAAACAAACACAAGGTATAGCTAAACATTACGAATAACTTGTAAGTATACCAAGCCAGACAGAATCTGTGAAAAGGTGTAGTAAACATGCAACCTTTCACTTCAAAGTAAGGTAAAAAAAGAAACGAACACGACAATTTACCCTGCCACAAGCAATCAAGAAAAAAGACATTTAGGTATATATATATTACGAAATCTGAGTTTGTTCAAAGTATAAGGTAAATTCTTATGAGCATAAATTCAGCCATAATTATTTATATCAACTATGTACGTATATTTTACTTATGACTTATGAAGTTTCAAAACGTTCAATCAAAACAGATTCACTGTCAATTAATGAGTGAAGATAACTTTGTCAAATCCTTATGGTTTTCAAGAAAAACTTTAGTTTGACTACCTGAGAGTAGGGCAATGACTTTACCATCTGCTGTCCACGCTGCTTTTACCCCAGGATGATTCGAGACTGTTGTGTACAATTCAAGGCGTTTCTTCGTCAAACTTTCTGTTATCCCGATGCCGGATGCCTTTAGATTACGCTTTCGGCTGAATACTTCAGATTTAGTATTGTGACGACTAAATTTTACAATAATAGGCTTTGGTCTTGAGTTAGCTATTTGCGGAGACTTCCTTCTCAGTCTGTGAGATCTATCTAAGTCCGACACTTGAATCTTCATCCCAAGTTTGTCGTTGACTCTCTTAATTATTTCAGCATCTGTATTTTCGGTCACATCTTTTGGTGGTTCTGGAACGCCATGAAAAATTAAGCAATTCCCTCTCCCATATTGTTCCAAGTCGTCATGGGCCATTTGTAGATTGTCGTACGATTTCTTTAATTGTGCGCAATTATATTCCATATCAGTGATTTTTGCTCGAAGGTCGGTATTATCAAACGAGAGACTTTCGTAAAGCTCTTGCTTTATTTTAGTTCTTTGCTTTTCGTTTTGAGAAATCTTATCAGCTATTTTAGCAATACTTGCCAATGTGCGAAATGGTTATAGAAATATGGTGCGCTGAATATCAAAGTTAATTTCCTGCGAATCCGGCCGCGGCCTAGCAAAAGTGAAAGCCTACAACACGACGTATTCCCAGGCAGTCACCCATCCAAGTACTAACTTCGCCCGACCAGGCTTAACTTCGGTGATCAGACGAGAACCGGTGTTTTCCGGGTGGTATGGTCGTAGACATTAGTGCACCCTAATACACTTGATTTCAAGGTAGCAATTTGCCAATGTGCGAAATGGTTATAGAAATATGGTGCGCTGAATATCAAAGTTAATTTCCTGCGAATCCGGCCGCGGCCTAGCAAAAGTGAAAGCCTACAACACGAAGTATTCCCAGGCGGTCACCCATCCAAGTACTAACTTCGCCCGACCAGGCTTAACTTCGGTGATCAGACGAGAACCGGTGTTTTCCGGGTGGTATGGTCGTAGACATTTGTGCACCCTAATACACTCGATTTCAAGGTCGTAATTTGCCAATATGCGAAATGGTTATAGAAATATGGTGCGCTGAATATCAAAGTTAATTTCCTGCGAATCCGGCCGCGGCCTAGCAAAAGTGAAAGTCTACAACACGAAGTATTCCCAGGCGGTCACCCATCCAAGTACTAACTTCGCCCGACCAGGCTTAACTTCGATGATCAGACGAGAACCGATGTTTTCCGGGTGGTATGGTCGTAGACATTAGTGCACCCTAATACACTCGATTTCAAGGTAGCAATTTGCCAATGTGCGAAATGGTTATAGAAATATGCTGCGCTGAATATCAAAGTTAATTTCCAGCGAATCCGGTGGCGGCCTAACAATTCGCTGTGCTCGCTTGAATACAAATACGCTGTTTCTTATCATTGATTCATTGATTGCTCATGTAAAATTGAATGGTAAATGGTATTAATAGGAAATCACACTTATTCTCGAAGTATTAATGAAATATCACAGTTGTGTTTGGCGAAATATTTATAATATATATAAATATTTCGCCAAACACGCGTGCGATTTTTCATTAATACTTCTCGAACCTTGTAATTTCCTATACAAATTCACAGTGGACGGGGACAGTTCCGGTTAAACCGGGACTGTTGGAATGTTTGTTAATGTCATATAAACTAACACAACAACTATACAGGTTCATATTGACGGTTGTACTCGTGATGACTGATGGGCAAAGCTTCATATTATTTACAATACCGTGTTGAATTTGCACAGTCTTCAGTACAACTGAAATACAATATGCAAAAATAATAGTGAATATTTTCAAACCAATTTCAGGGCTTTGGCCACAATATAAATACATTGTACACATTTCACTACATCAGATAATATCAATGACATGGCTTTCTGTTTGTTTGGTTTCATCCTACAACTCAGCCACCCTGCATGAAACCTCCAAACCGAAATAGATTGGCCAGAATGTGCATTCCATTCACTCCACGCCAGATATATCCGGTGTGAGGTTACAAAATTGTTGGTGTATTGGCGTGAGATCACTCAAAAATAAGTGAGAAGTGTAACTACAGCAAGTTTGTGCATGAATTGATTTTATATAATAACTACAGTGAAACACGCAATTTGGTTGGTCAACAGCCGTGCAGGATCAGACAATCCTGCACTGGAAATTCTGAACAGAAATTCTTGCACATAATTTTACAAATATACTCGCATTGTAAAGGTTTATTGTACGATACCTTTCGACTTTGAAGTAAGTTTCCAATTACTGACACGTTGGTTTAGTTGTAAGAATAAATTTCTGATCGATACATTCCTGTTCAAGCAAGTAGAAACGCGGTAGCGTTGAAATTCATCAGACCATGGCAAGTACAACATCTCTCGCTAGTCGCTTCAAAGTTCGCAATCTTCACGCTTCGCAATCTTCAAGTATTCAGGTCGAGAATCTTTTCAAAACTACTAGTCTAGGACCTGTATATGAGTTTGTATGCATTTCATTTAGGACAGATAATCTCAACTATTTTAGGGTAAGTTGACCATGACGGTCAACATTGGAACGCTGCCCGAACCCCAATCCGGGGCGAAACGTCCCAAACTGACCACACCCAAAAACGACGCTTTCGCCAGACTGCTATCTACCAAACCATAAGAGCTTTGGCTATTCTGAGGTGCTTATATGGTTCAGAGATGGTACTTTTGGGGATGGTCATTGGTAAGTGTGAAATGCCTAGCACTAATATTTCACAAGAAAATGACCATGCAATAATCATAGTTAAACGTCAATTTGTGGCTTGCAACTTCAGATAAACAGCAGTGGACTTACATTACCTTTTTCCAAAAATCTTCTTGATAGAAACATAATTGGTACTTATTTAAATATATTATCACTGGTTTGGTGTAAAATAGTTAATATTTTCTGACTGAAATAATAATTTGAAATGTGCCTACCTCCTGCAAATAGACGTATTTGGCCAAGTTCTCCACTTTACTCCGTTGTTTATCGGCGATCTCGTCGACATCCTACAAAAAATGTAAATCATCTCAGACATAATGGTATCAAGAACATTTTAAACAAGTTTCAACTTGGTTTCAAGTAGATCATACCTGTTTAACCATCGACAAGGTAAATCCACAACTTTGTCCAAATTCGGCGCCATTTTGTCATCCCATGTCGCTTGTTAACAATTCAGCCTTGTTACTCTTCCATCCAAGCCATTTCCATTCCACTAATAATAAATTTAACCCTTTATAACAGGAGGAAACTAAAAAATCTAAACAAAATATAAGAAATACGCCATTTTATCACCATGTAAAATTTTGCTCACGAGTCTTTCAAAACATTCCGTACAAATATCGCGTGACAAAGTAACAGGGACGTGACAGGAGGGGGTGAATTATTTCACGAAGATAGAAGGCTGCGTGAAATAGACTAAAAGCTAAATACAATCATACAAATGTTTGTTTTATTTCTTGTAGCGACAAATATATACATATTATTATTTATTAATATGAAAAAGTCATACAAATTAAATGTTGATTGTTGGTTTTACCATACTGTGTGGGCTTTCCTTTCATTTTTCAAGTCTCTACCCCCCCCCCCCCCTGTCACGTCCCTGTTGCTAAACCACGCGAGATTTGTACGAAATGTTTTGAAGGACTCGTAAACAACATTTTACAGGGTGATAAAATGGCGTATTTCTTGTATTTTGTTTAGATTTTTTAGTTTCCTCCTGTTATAAAGGGTTAAATTTATTATTAGTGGAATGGAAATGGCTTGGATGGAAGAGTAACAAGGCTGAATTGTTAACAAGCGACATGGGATGACAAAATGGCGCCGAATTTGGACAAAGTTGTGGATTTACCTTGTCGATGGTTAAACAGGTATGATCTACTTGAAACCAAGTTGAAACTTGTTTAAAATGTTCTTGATACCATTATGTCTGAGATGATTTACATTTTTTGTAGGATGTCGACGAGATCGCCGATAAACAGTGGAGTAAAGTGGAGAACTTGGCCAAATACGTCCATTTGCAGGAGGTAGGCACATTTCGAAAATATTAAATCAGAAAATATTAACTATTTTACACCAAACCAGTGATAATATATTTAAATAAGTACCATTTATGTTTCTATCAAAAAGATTTAGGGAAAAAGGTAATGTAAGTCCACTGCTGTTTATCTGAATTTGCAAGCCACAGATTGACGTTTAACTATGATTATTGCATGGCCATTTTTTTGTGAAATATTAGTGCTAGGCATTTCACACTTACCAATGACAACCCCCAAAAGTACCATCTCTAAACCATATAAGCACCTCAGAATAGCCAAAGCTTTTATGGTTTGGTAGATAGCAGTATGGCGAAAGCATCGTTTTTGGGTGTGGTCAGTTTGGGACGTTTCGTCCCGGATTGGGGTTCGGGCAGCGTTACCTTGTTGACCGTCATGTTCAACTTACCCTAAAACAGTTGAGATTATCTGTCCTAAATGAAATGCATACAAACTCATATACAGGTCCTAGACTATACGTTGGCTCTCTGTTTAGCGGGTTTTCCATTCCAAATTTCGTAAATTTTATCGAAAAAATCTCTGTATTTTCGCCGTATGTTTTCGCGAATTTGCGATCAAATTCTGTTCGCATTTGTTGTTGTTTTCAATAGCGTGGAATAGCGATCCTCCGATTGGTTAATTAACGATTGTTGTGAGAACTGCACATTTCATCAGTAATTTTAATGAAGTTAACCGTCGTTTCACTGTAGTAATTTTATAAAACAATTACCAAATGGTTTTCCCGTCCAGGATAGCATGATCCATGCACTTGGGATGTTGCTCGACTTTCGGAAAGCGTGACATCTCGCAACATCCTGCGTGCTTGGATCACCGGCAATCCTGCACGGAAAACCATTCGGTATTCCTTTAGTCATACAGTATGTATATTCACCGAGTGTAACTTCTAGAAATATATTATGTTAACAGTATATAAAACTGACATGCCAGGTTAGCCATTTTAACATGGATTTTGGTCCCCAAAGTTAAAGTCTCAAATGTATACACCCTTTTCATAAATGGCTGCCGATTAAAAATTCTTTTATGTGCATATAAATTGGCCCAACTAGCCTCATTTCTGGGTTGAAATTCCTTTGAAATCTTAACATGAGTACGAGGCTAGTTGGGCCAATTTATATGCACATAAAAGAATTTTTAATCGGCAGCCATTTATGAAAAGGGTGTATTGGCGTGAACTATCGTACATGTTGGCGTATTTCCGGCGTAGTTTACATGGAATGCACCCTGGCCAGTTGGTCTATTAAAACAAATTTGCCAGCCCAGGCATAAAATGTCAATTACATTTTACACTGCAGTGACTGCACACTATGATTATGTTATGCCGCTTATTAAACGTACCTAGTCACTCAATTATTACTGATTACTTCGTAATCTGCAGAGTATACAGTGGTGTAGTGGAGGGGTAGGCTCAGGGGGACTGAGCCCTCCTTGTTCAAATTTCATTTTGGCTTGGGGGAGCTGAGCCCCCCCCCCCCCAACCCACCCCTCCCCATAGTTTTTGCCTAAACTTAAACGAAAATGTTCTTTAGAACTGCATCTACAAAAAGTGGTACAGAAAGCTTGAATTACATAGCATTCTGAGACGCTCAGAATATGTTTTAATACTAACGGCAATTGTTTTTAATAAGCATAGTTTTGAATGTTTGTCGCACATTTATTATTTATCCTGTCTCTATCTCATTGGGTATACCCATACAATTTAGTCGGGCAAGTTTTGAAAATATTTGCGTGTCTCACATTGAAAATTAATAGTGGTAGGAAAAAGTGGTAGTGAAAAATGCCCCGCTCACCAACAATTTTGGGAACGGAAATATTAATTAGCGACTGATCAAATGTTCGTCCCTCAGGAACGACTTCGGAAACGCCCTTTTTATCGGACACAACAATCACAACTTCCCCCCCTAGCTGTAATACCGAGGTTTCGCCCCTGTTGTAGAGCCCCCCTTTTTAATTTTAACATTCCAGGACTACACCACTGGGAGTATAGTGCTGTGTTCTGCCGTTCGGTCAATTCTGATATTTCGACGGTAAAACCAGTGGGTGAAAATATCAAATTATTTACCTGCCATTTAGTTTCTTTCAACATTTAAATGTTCTTCATACTTCTATGATGTGTGCTTGTTCTTGAAATATCAGATTTGACTTGATTTCTTCGCATACTTAGCGAGTATAAGCCAAAAACTCCGAAAAATGTCAGTTTTACAGTAGAATCTATAGTCTTTCACCGCAGAAGAAAGTTCTCATACAGAAGTCCCACTCAAGTTGGAACCTTTGATGTAAATGTCGCCTCGCGCATCTCGGCCGCCATTTTCCCAACAAGTAAAAATGGTGGATTTTGTATAGAATTATTAGGGAGTTAACTGCAAAAAGTGGATTTTCAACGACGATTTCCTTCTAAATCATCAAATATCATCATATCATCATCATAAATCATCATATTATATATATATATATATATATATATATATATATATATATATATATATATATATATATATAAAGATAAAATAAACCTGGTTTACTTCATAAGATTTATTCACTACAAACTTGTTTCGTATGACAAGCAATGCTTGCCACACTCATCAGGTGAATTTAAATGTCGCGCTATGTTGTTGCCAAGGTTATATATACTATATACATATTTGACGTAAACGGAATGTTCAAGTATTAAATTACGTATAGATTACATATATATACAAATTATATTAAGTAATGTATATTGCTTAAGAGAAATATATATATATATATATATATATATATATATATATATATATATATATATATATATATATATATATATATATATACATCAGAAATATAAGAGGACCGAGAACTAACCCTTGAGAAATACCACAAGTGACTGTATTATAATCAGATAAAATATTATCTAAGGAAACGTACTGTTGTTGTAAAATGTTGTTTTCAGTTGTGAAATGTTGTTTTCAATTGTAAAATGTTGTTTTCGGCTGAAGAGAAAGATAGTGACTCAATCTTTACGACCGTTATGACCATATGGAAACCATGCTTTATAGTAATTAATTAACTAACCAACAACAGAGGGTACATTATTGGGGACACCCTGTACATGTGCCTGTTGGTTTATATACACCCCAGGGGTATTCAAAAAGGAAATTTTGTTGCAGTTCAAATGCTGTGTTTTGTCACCTGTGCCCGCTGGGGGTTTCTTGACATTGTCGAAACAGCACAACTGGTTATGGAAACCATGCGTTTGACCATAGTTAATAGAGGAGAGGGTTTGAAAGCTGGGGGCATGGCCAAATGATGTTATTGTTCTCTGTCACGTGACAATATAGGTGCATCAAAATCTATTTAGTAATAGGAGACTGTATTACAGAGGAGGCTGCAGTACTTGAAAAACGTCTTTAATAGAAAGAATATCCAAATACCAGGAGCAAATATACACTGACGCCATTTTGAATCTTATGAACTTTGAACTCTGACCAAAATTTCCAGACGTTTTGAGTAAAAATTACCAAAAAAGCCAAATAAAACTGCCATTAGCCAATGAGATTACTTATCGCATTTGGGTATCAAATCTACCAGGTAAGTATCAAATCATTCCGGCAGGCTGTCGACCAATCAAAACTGTTTTTGAAGCTCATTTATGGGACAATAGATCATATTCTGCCTCCGTAATTGAAAGCAAAGTACAAATTATGTTGTCATACCACTGTGGCGATAAAATATTATTCCCGCATGGATAACTTTGAATGAACAAAAATGACGATATTTTAGGGCAATCTGGATAAAGGCATTAACACAACATCTTTTATCCACGGTGGAGCGATCAACTTGGTAAAACTTCGCAAAGTGTCTCAAATTCAGGAAAATTCACCTTAAGGAGCGGTCATAAAGTAAATGCTACCCCGGGGCGGAGGATATTGGGATAGGGTATGAAATTTTTTTCAGGGGTTTGGATGGGATATGAAATAAATTTATCACTTCAAAGAGGGGGTATAAAACAAAATTTGTTTGCTTCAATACATAAATTGTGTTAATACAGTTTAATATTACGGCTCCGTTCATGGTCCAAATAATTTTTCATACATCACTGCCATCATTGTCTCATAAAAGATTTGACCGTTGCTCATCATTGTCTCATAAAAGATTTGACCGTTGCTCTTTGTGTTGTGATTTTATTCCTCTTCATTAGCTTGTGTGGAGGAGTACATGATGACACAAATATTATTCAAAGAATGGCTGTAAGAGAGACTATTGTATCGTATATTTAATACACAGTGTAATCATTTTTAACCTATTTGTACATTGGGTGCGCACAATGAGTGCACCCAAATAAATATTTATCTGTCATTCCTGAACAAATGAACCCATATGCTTTTCTGAAAATTCAATATTAGGGACCGGTCATAAAGTATGTGTACTGGGGGGAGGGGGGAGGTGGAAGGTATTCCAAAATTCTACCATAAAATTTGGCACCCCCCCCAAAAGCGTCGGAAAATATTTAATACCCCCCCTCCGTCAAAGGAGATGAAATGTTTCGTACCCCCCCCTCCCCTCCCCGCGCCCAACCAATCACCCTCTCCCCAAAAACATAAAATACTAAAAACATAACTGTTTTGCAAATCATTGCAATCAATTGTCTGTATTAGAATATTTAGCGTAGTTAATAAATAGAGAATGTACATGTTGAACATGATATCTCACGATTGGCTGTGCGTGGAAAGCGATCGGATTAAGGTTTGTGTCAGGCTATATTTCAAAATAGAGCCTGATCTCAGGTTAGGATCTCACATATTTGTAGAGTTTGGTTATATCAGAACAGAACCTCGTGACGTGTATTTCATATCTTTCTCAATATTTAAATCATTCTAAATACGGACGAGCCAACGAGATCTCGTTGTGGTCCCTTGCCATCATGGCCCCTAAAATCAAAACATTGAAATTTTTCAAACATCGAGATTTTAATTTTCAAAATCAAGACTAAGATATATGACAATCAAAATTCACGAAAATATTACGGAAGAATTTTCATATGTTGAACCAAAAAGTTACGATATGCCCGGGAAAAATGTAGTATTTCCGGAAAATTGGCGATATGACCGGAAAAATTTTTGCATTCCAGGGAAAATTACCATATGTGCTAGATTGCATACACTCGATTTTTTAAAAAATATATTGTATTGTAAAAGTCTGTAGTTTTATTAATCATAGACATATAGTATTCCACTCATTTTTTATTCGTACCCCCCCCCACAAATGTCGTAATTCGTCTCATACCCCCCCCAAAGTTAGATAATTTGTTTCATACATCCCAAATTACCCTCGACCCCCCCTCCCCCCAGTAAACATACTTTATGTCTGACCGGTCCCGCTTATCTGGACGTTTGACGACATTTGTCAAGCAAGGTGTCAGGGCCAAAAATGGGAAAATGTGGGTTGGACAGTATTTCGAAAGACATAAATAACCTAATATATTTAGAGAACATACAAAGATGGATTATTACACATGATTTGCAAAGTAAAATATCCATAATATATTATATAAAAATGTAAAATATAGTATAATATATAATATTTAACAATTATTCGCCGAAGGCGAAGTGATTACCGAGACGAAGTCGAGGTGGATATTCACCGTCATCACTGAGCCTGAGGCGAATAATTGTTTTAGCATAAATTTTAATGAATAAAACAAAATATCCGAATATCAGTTCAATTAAATTTCAGAAATAAAACTGTTTTCGGCCTGTTCACTAATAGTGTTGCAGTGTTTCTTGTACGCACACGCTTTCAAAATGACTTCTTGTGTGACTTTATTGCCTTATTACAGAGTTGTTTTTCTCGATTCCTGCTTGCAACATATACACAATAACGGAATGACTCTATCACCAGAATTAATTTCTTCAGGAAATGGCTGAGAAATTTAGTAAAACAAAATGTAAAACTATATCGTTCAAAACAAAGTTTTACAGGTAAACTACGTGAAGCGTTTGTCTTTTGTGTTCCTAACTCATTTGGAATTTTCAAAATTAGATTTGCAAATTTGAAAAACTTTTCGCAAATCCCTTGAGGGAATTTGCAATTTTCCTGTCGGCCGTTGCAATATTCCAACGCAAAGAAAGTTCCTTTCAAATTTTCGTAACTTCCTGTTTTAATTTCCTAACTTTCTGTTCTGTTCTGGGCGTTATCATTGGTGGATTATTTTTGTTAGCCAATTGCAACGCACAGAACAGAACAGGAAGTTAGGAACTTGTAACAGGAAGTTAAGAACTTCTAACAGGACTGAGGAAAATTTATTTTGCTCTTAAGAACATTGCAAATTCCCTGAAGGGAATTGCAAGGAGTTTTTCAAATTTGCTAAGGTAATGACGAAAATTGCAATCAACTTAGGAACTCAAAAGGGGAACGCTTCACGTATAGTTTACCTGTAATAACACTTTTTACTTTACAAGTTTCGAAAACACAATAGAGCGTCAGAACAACATACAGCACAATGAAAACATGACATATCAAAAGAAATAGTATCGTAAAAATTGGAAATTTATAGTATAGAAAATAAAATGGATTTTAAAGAATATCACGGCAAGGTTTTTCCGAAAAGTCGGCATGGTTTTTGCTATTTGTTTGAATTGAATGTTTCGGAGTTTTAAATAAGTTTTAAATTGTCTGTGAATATGTTTGACGGCACAGTAAATAATAAAGGAATCTCCTACCTTTCAAGTTAAATACAACATTATGTGCTTCTTTCGTTTTCTGGGAACGATTTTTTCAATATTTTGTCGATTTTGAAACCAAATTTGCCGAATTATTCATTCATTCTTTTTGAAAAGCATTATTTACTGCCCAGGTGGTAAATAATGCCTCAGATTTACTAGTCAGCTACTCAATCAGAACGCAGAAAGCTCATTTGATATGCAAAATGTATACTAAAGTATATTATAAAATACTTATATAATATAAAATACTTATTTATAATATTTTTATATATACAAAATTACAAATACACATATTTCTTTCTACCTTCAAGGTTGAGCAAACACCAAGGTTGCGCAAACATTTAGGAACCATAATATATTGCAGAATATGAAGCCAATTTCACGGCCAATTTAGTATAAATATTGTGTTTTCAAAACTATACTGCAGGCTTGTAGCCCACCTGTGTTACCCTTCGTGAAACATATAGTATATTGGCCTGCTATCAAAACATAGTTGCTATTTCATATTTTTTCTAGAAACTTTTCTTGATCGACTTCATTCAGTTCATTGTTTCTTTGGTTTATACTAAAGAAATTATGCCACCAAAAAGAGCTAGAGTTTCAGCAGAATGCGCAATTGCAAATATTATGCGATTTATGGAACAATATGACAACAATGACAGTGTCACAGTGATGATGGTGAAATCACTCAATCAGTGATGTTGAAAATTTTATTTGAATTGTTTATATGGGGAGACAGGTCAGTTTTAGTTGTATGTCTTTTCATATGGTACAGAAATGCCAGCTTGTAAGGAAAAATGGTGGTGTTTATGGACATCTGAGGTATGCCATAACATAAAAGTATGTCTTTTGAATGTAAAAGACCCAAACATATCACATCTAAAATTTTTTTCTTTACATAAAATAACCAAAATGGGTAAAATATTAGCAATATTCGCCATTTTTTGACAGGCGGTCTTATTCAATGGGGCCAAAAAACAGCATTTTGGATTTGAATTTTACTTTTTGTTATTTTTAAGTTAAGGAAAGATAAAACTTAGTAAAAATAAAACTTATAGGATAATGGCAATTAGCCAACAGAATTTTTGAGCCCTATCAGCACACTCCAGGTCGTATCAACATGAATAAACTCCGGTAAGCTTATCGTTTTTATGATGGGATATGAAACATTGAGACCGTTATCTTGATGGGGTACCAAATATTAACCGACAATTTTGTGGGGGTATGAAAATTTTTCACAAAATTAAAAATATCCTCCGCCCTGGGGTAGCACTTACTTTATGACCGCTTCCTTCGTTCACGTTTTTCGCCATACATTTCTATATTAGTAATTTATATCACTCCGTGGTCCCCACACTGTTATTTTCATGGAGTTAAAATAACTCCGGAAAAGGGGGTTAGCAAAAAAGGTTCAAAATAATCCGTTTTTTGGGGTTAGAAATAACTCCATTTCTGGGGTTAAAATGT